TAAGTGTTTATCGTAAATTTGCTAATGTGCTTTAATATTGTTGAAGTTAAATTGTTACTAGGAAAGTCGAGACTTTAAGTATTAAGTTCGGTTATTCCGTAGGATGATATTGGCTTTGGCATTGAGGTTCATGAATGAGTTTGGTTCATTAGTATGTTAATCGTTTAAAAATTCTTAACGACCCGGTTTAGGGAGTTAATGTTTTATTTTTAATCGCTCACTTAATTTAGTAATTACTTTTATAGTAGTTAAATTAGAATTACAATCATCAACCCACGGATTAGAATGTCTAGGAATTTACTTTCTTTTTCTGTGTGTTTCGGACAGTTAAATTAGCGAATTACGCTCCGAATAACATTCCTTTGAGAACGACTCGAGGTCGGGTAGCTCGATTACCAAATTCCCAAAATTATACTAAACAGATGCAAAGAAGATCCGATGGCCGCAGTAGATATGAGAAACTCTGCCAGTCCCACTGTCCCAAGTCGTTGACATATTTGGACTCAGACCATGTCAACCGATCCTCTGGAATAACACCCCGAACACGGTTAATTAAGGCCTCGGAAAAATTCAACCAATTATCCCACCAAAAGAGAATTTGAGTCCCATCGCCTATGGACCATCTGGTACCCTTGACCACATACGACCATATCCTTGCAATTGCACGCATCACAACCGAGCCCGATGAGAAGTGGAACTCAGCCGACATCACGCGCGATTGGAGTTTATACTTGGCACATAATTCTCGTACCCACAAAGCCTCTAGTTTACTTAACAAACCCCAACCGAGCTTCATAAATAGAGCCATGCTCATTCGTCTTTGGTTTTTAAGCCCCTAACCCACTCTTCTCCTTAGTCTTACATAGGGAACTTCATTTTACAAGGTGGACCTTTCTTTCAGTGTGGAAACTACCCCAGATAAATCTACGACAATATTTTTCCAACCCTTCGCAGATCTCCGATGGAATCCACAATTTTTGCATGGAATAATAAGGTAAGCTGCTAACCACCGTGGGTTAATGTAACTCTACCAGCTAGTGAAGTGACAATGATTTCCAACCGTCTAGATGGTGCTCCGCATTCTCCACAATACCTTCATATGTGCGCTTGGTGACCCGCCCGTGAATTACCGGCATGCCGAAGTATATGCCCATATTGTCAACCCTCACAAACCTGGTTCTTTGAGAAAGTTGATTTTTCACCTGCTCATTCACATTCGACGAAAATGCTTGTCTTTGACACACTAACTTTCAAGCCCGAGTTTGACAAAAGACGGATAACACCTCATTGAGCACATCCACCTGATCGGGTGAAGCTTTTAGAAACAACAATAAATCGTCCGCGAAGATAAGATAAGGAACCGTCACCTCCCCATGGCCTAATGAGATCGAGCACCACACACCGTGCTCAACTCTTTGCTGAATAAGGTGAGCCAGTCTCTCCATCGACAAGACGAAGAGGTATGGCGATATAGAGTCTCCTTGGCGAACACCACGGGAAGGTGTGAATTCCTCCGAGACGGTTCCATTAAATTGAAGTTGCATGGAAGCCGAAGTTATACATGTTATTACTCCTTGTGACTCCTCGAATGAACATTTCTGGAAATCCCACTAGCCGGAGTGTATCCTCGATAAAATCCCAACGGAGATAATCGTAGGCCTTCTCCATATCTACCTTCACCAAGAAATATCCGAAATTTGTTGGTCGGATACAAAACTTACTTGAGCCGGCCCAACAATACTTGGCAGCAGAGGTTTCATTCTGTTAGCCAGGATCTTTGTAACCAACTTGTACACCACATTAAGAAGGCTAATCGATCTGAACTGTGTAATCGTTTGAGGGTTATCCACTTCCGGGATAAAAACAATTTTAGGGTTTTATTCACTTGTGAAGGCATGATCCCATCATGTAAGATTTCACGAACCAATCGGCTGACCGAGGCTCCCACAATGTCCCATTTGTGTTGAAAGAAAATTGCATGAAGCCCATCTACCCCGCGGGACTTCAAAGGATGTATGGACCGAAGAGAAAAAGTGATTTCAAAATCCGAGACTTCTCTTGCCAAGGGCGATACCCAGGCAGGCTCAACATAAGGAAAGCGGTTCAAGATTTGAGCAGGTTGAGAAGTCCGGTGCACCACCGAGTAAATGCTACAAAAAAAATTTCGGACACCAATTTCCATCATTGCCAAGAAGCCCCACAATTTTATTTTTTCATCGTTGAGCTTTAATCTTCCGGTGGTAAAACTTTTTGTGCCTATCACCAAACAACGACCAGTCTCTTTAAGCTTTTTGAATCAAGAGAACTTCTTCTTGCATGGAAACCTGTTCGAGCTCCACACTCAGTTAACATTCGAGAGATAACAAACGATCATTGACCTGACTTTGCAAAGCTCGTTGAACGTCCAAAATCCTCGCTAACATTCTCTTTTTTTGTTTAAACATGTTCCCAAAAATATTATAATTCCACTCCTTCGCCAAGGACGAAAATCGGTTAGCTGCCTCCACAAAAGTTTTCACCCCAGACCATTTCCCCGTAACAAACCCATCAAAATCCTTATGCATTAACCAAGATGCTAAAAACC